CGTTTGAGTGTACTTTCACCGAAATCAAATAAATATTTACTCGTGTACTAAGTTACACTTTTCACTGCGTCTAATCTAATCAACGGTTTAAACGACTAAATTATTCTTTTATTTAATCTGTGGAACTTAAGTCCTCCCGAGGCAACCGCCCATCAAACAAATCTGTGCGAATTAGGTCCAGCCACTAAATAAAGTCCAATTTTAGAATACAATTGATCATGGTTTAAGTTTTTCTTGACGCGACAAAAATCCTGAGACAATTGAATTACAAATCCCTATCGTCCCCGCTGTGTTAAGACGTACGTATGCTAATGTGGCAGACCATATTGTAGACAAGAATATAACTACGACTAATTCTAATAAAAAAAACTGGTGTTAAATGAGTTAATATTCGATCGTGTTCTACCAAAGGTCGACTAAACCTGTAACTTAATACAATCGCAATTCGGATACTTCAACTTATTAACGGAAACACGGCCCTCTTACATAATACGGAACCCCAAACCAATTACTACAAATAGTCTGGACGATTTCGACGCTGGACCGGCGGTGAAATAACATTAACCTCAATTCATACGACTGAACAAGGAGGAAAGAGATTTTGGGGAGTCATGACGTCTGTATGAAGTCACTGAAGCGCACGGAAGAAGCTAAGATTTCCAGACAGGAAGGGTTGTACACGGATCCGCCCGCTGCTCTCTTCCATGCGGGAGTGCCACTTTTAGTATAGTAAAGAACGGGGTCGAGTACTAATGACACTGTGTGCCTCCTAACATGTCTCAGACGACACAAAAGAAAGACAGTAAGTTGATTTTCATCTACGTACGTCCAGTCAATTTACCGACTACGTTCATCTATACGCTACTTTAATTTGATGATATTTCGCGACTTCAGGCTATCTCCACCCATTTTCCTCGACTACCCCCATTTCTTTATGACCTTTCGACATTCTCGATTAAGAAAGTTTCACCCCGGGAACTTACGAATAAAGTCCGACGTATAAACGATAAAACACAGCCGATGCCCTGTGCATGAATGTACGAAATTATAAGTTTTTCAGAAGTAAAAAGAGTATGACTGGACACGACGACGTGCAAGAAAAGAAATACAAATGTCTTCGAAGTTAGCTCCACAAATATTCCGTCTACAATTGATCCCCGAAACTTCCACGTAACTGTACGGTTTTCTGTTGTCTATACACGATTTACAAGTTTTGATGAATCCAAACCAACGTGTCTCCGTTGTAGTGGGAGACGAAACTCGGTACGACATAAAAAAGATGTGAACTAAAGTACTTCATATAAATTAGGGAAGGGAACAAAGGGTGAAATCAACACGTAACTTTGGACACTGCGGCAAAGCGAGGTTTTGGGTTACACGGAAGTTTTTCGTTCCACTCAAAAGTGAATAGATCGCAGTTGGATCTGGGCTGTAACCGTCAAAACGGGATAAGTGAGACTTCGTTCGAGTGAGACAAACTTCACAGAATGGAGTACCAGGACGTTCCCAGACTAAAAGTTCGGCGGGGCGGCGTGGACGCTGCACGTATAGGCTTGGGGCCGGGGTGGGCGTGTAATAAGTTAATCAAGGGCGTCGGCTGCGGCTGGAGCAGCCGTGCTATGTCGTTTGGCTGGGCTTGGAGCGGTATAAGGATACCGGTCACCTTTGCGACGTTATAATTGTGGTGACGTCAACTCATAAACCGAGTTTTCCGCACCCTACAACCAAGAAAAGAGGTAGCATCCGACAGTGTTCTTCGGAGGCTGACACCCTAAAGCGAGGAACTCTTTACACAATAACTTTTACGACATAAGAGTGCGGGGTATCTCTCGAAGTGGAGTCGAGTGAAGTCTTACACTGCCGCGAGTCGGTCGTCTAAACTAGCCACGGTACTCCAAATACTTACTAAACGCCCCTCTCCAGACTCCTAAAAACTTTGTATTGGATAAATAAAATAAAATATGATAAATAAATCCGTGGTGGGCGCCTGGGCTGGTGTAGTAGGAAACGAAAATGGTCTTTGGGCTTGGACTTTTTTCACAAAACTGTGCCATGGTGGGCCGCTTAGTGAAAAAAACGCGCCAGGGGACAGCCGCATGAGGGCTCCGGGCTAAGCGTGCCTGAGACGGAGATGGAGACGGGAATGTAAAACGGATTAAATAATACTCAAAGTAGTACTCTAACCCTACGAACGAGAGTGATGTTTTACTTTCGAAAATCATGATTTAGACTGTCGACATCCCCTCGTTTCTCCCTACTAGGTGTGCCGGATGATTTCTATATTGTTGAAGTGTTGTCGTCGGTTGTGAAGTCCAGAAACTAATACTTCCCTCAGATAGACTGTTACATTGTCCGAGATCCCCCCCCTTTATTAGTTGATGTCTCTATCAAATAGCCGCTTATGACAACGCCAGCATATAGATCACCAGGCCTATGTGACTTCGGTTCATAGCTAAAATACATAGTATTTGATAGTATAGCGTTTAAATTCGGAACCGTTTCTATGGAGTTTAAGAACTCGCTCGATTCTTTATTGAGTTTATATTTTGATGAAGTACACGTTCTCTGGATGCGCAACACCCTCTTGTTTAATAAAACAGTGTACCAATTTCTGCGATGCCTTGGGCTTATATAGCACATTAGAAATTCTTCCGGATTTTTGGATAATAAATTTTTTTTTTTTTTTTCGGAAGTAATTTGCAAATTTGCGAGGCTAGACAAAGAAAAAGATAATGCGGGGAACATCGTGACCCCTAATGAAAACCGTTACTTCGCACGAAACGTTATTAGTAAACTAAATATAATTAATTCCCTTACGAGGCTAGCTAGCCGGGCAAGAGCGAGGAGACGGCAGCTGGTAAGAGAGATTGTTTACCCTTTCTAGCACCTCCGGCTAGCGGTACTGCATACTTGATGTACCGGAAAGAGACCGACGCGCCCTTTTGTTCGACGCGCGGCGTGTACCGTAGTGGTCAGACCGGTGCATAAAATTCCACAGGCTTTTACCCTGTGCATTGTATCGCCATACGTTGCACACGCTTCGTCTGTTAGACGCGAAGGTGGACGCACACTTGACCTGGCCAGCTCGCCTCGCTTTGTGTGTGATTCTCAATCGTCACGTACTGTAAATTCCTAAAACCCTCACCCGGTAGATTCGATTAAAATGTCTACGCGGACTCCGGGTTCTTCTAAAACGCGGTACTTTTACGCGCGCCTGCTTTACTGCGTGCTGAAAGCCAAACCCCGAGGGGGATCTTAGTAACATCTCACA